CATCCCCCCCCCCCCCGTGAGATGAGTGGAGCCTGTAATTTCACCATAAGATGTAGACTGTGTTTGGCAGGGAACATTCATGTACGCTATAATTAATTCCCATGATGAAGATGTGCGCGAACTTATAGACTGAAAGGTCTGTGGTTTGAATTCAACTCCGGGCATCTCGACTGTTATTATCTTGGATAGCGTGGCAGTATCTCAGCTGTTATGTGCCCTTCGGGTAGCATGGAAACTTTGTCGCACGCAAATCTTACGCTTTGCGCTCATGCCTGCAAAGTGTAAAGTGCTGCTACAAGACTGGTTTGGATCAAACCCAAATCTCATGCTTGCAGGTGAGCCGCTCAAGGTGGCAGATAAATTTGTTTCCCTGAGCAGTTGTGTAAGTTCTGGTGGACTTGCTGGAGATGAGATTGCCAGGCAGCTTTTGCCAACTTCCGACACCTATGGCTCCGATGTGATGTCAGTTTGTCTGTCAAGGACAGAGTTTACACTGCTAGTGCGATCCATACTGATTTATGGATCGGAGACGTGGCTTCTGCATACGTTGGACATACCAAAGATGTCAGTGCTTGACCATCGGTGTCCCCGGAGCCTCAGTCAGGTCTGGTGAGAACATTAAATTAGCGGTGCGGAGGCACGCCAGATGGTCTTAGGAAGAAAGAACTCTCGCTTCATAATTTACGCTGGTTAGGGCATGTACCTTGCATACCAGAAGATCGTCCACCTCACAGAACTCTTTTCCCAACCCTGTGCTGAGTGGAAGCGACCGAGAGGTGGACAGCGTATAACCTCTCTACGAAGTACGAAAATAGTAACCAGTAAACTTAGGTCAACAAATGCTGTCTTGCTGGATGGGGATTCTTGGACTCAACTCATCAATGGTTAATGACTGACAGAAATAGTCCACTCGCTTTCAATGTTCCCGAACTAACCAAATATCCCATTGCCCCCAAGGCTCGGCTGTGTCCCACACAAGCAGCTGGAACCAACCCTCCTATGGTACACGATTTAGGGTTGATAAATTGATTGATTTTGCATGGCAGCTGTGCACAGGAATGATGATAAATCTGGACTCTTATTATCATTACTATTATTGGTTGCCTGGTTGAGTGATGTGCAGACAGATTTGACACTGCTTCTTTCATCTTCCCTCAACGCATTCGTGCGTTATTTCAACGGGCACATGTTGAATGGACCATTTATTTACATAACACAGGGTGTGAAGTAGGGTTCGGTGACGTCACCAACGGCTCTCACTTGTTCTTCAGCCAGCTGAACTGTAGGAGACTATCTGTAGGTTTCACCGAGCCATTATTCCGGGTATTGCAGTATTATTTCGCCGTAGGTAACACTCCACGTAGACTCGGTTTCTGGTGATATTGTGGAGGATGTACAAGTAGCGTTTTTCCGGGACAGGCCCGTTAGGTGCTTGTCGTTGAGTGCTGAGCTGTAGATCGTTCCCATTTTGTGTTCAATATATGTGATTATTTGACTGAGTGGTCGGAAAGTTAGGAGCGGAGGGGATAACTGAAAGTAAAGGGCGTTCACGATGGACGACACGTAGTTTTCCTATTAGTTTCCCCAGCACGAAGAGGCAATTGTATTACCGTTCCTACTTGCTTTACGGAGGGGTTGTGCTTCGTAAAAGAGAGGAAACAAGTACAATATTTCCTCTGCGAAGGAAACGATTTCTGGCCAACCAAAAAACTTTTCCTATGAAGTCCCAAATAGTGAAACGGCGCCCCAGAAATGCATCATGAACAATAACTCACAACATGAGATGCTTTCTGACTGCCATCGAAAGAGTCACATCCACAACTACCCAGATACAACTACAGGCAAGCTGAAAACAGAGTGTAGCCATTATAAATTGGTTCCAGCAATCTGTTGAACCACGTCGAGTTACGCGCAAAACCCTAAAAGCCAAATCTTTCACATGGAGGTTTACCTACAAATGCCGTACTATAAATACAATAATAAGATGATAAAACTTTACAAACCTCAAATCGTAGGACAATGCCGGCTTCTACACACCGGTTTAGGAACTGCTAATTCCAAACGGATCTCAAAGTCCACGGTGACTCAATGCCATGTGTTTACAAGACAGCGAAACCACCTGTTGACTTAAACAACACGTCCGATGACAAGGTCAAAGAACGGTTCATGCTCAGGCCAAAAACAATAAGAGTGGTATAGGCGCAAACCAAAATAACAAAAAGGGGGAATCGTGTTATACAATATAAAAATAGAAGAAAGGAATCAACAGTCATTGCCAGTGCCAGTTCGTGCATACTGACCGGATCAGGAAGGAAGCGTTCAGCTGTAGCACCCTTCCGGTGCCTAGCTGCCATACCACCCGAAGGAAGCACGAGGGCTGGGATACTGCCAGGTTGCCCAAGCCTAGACAGGGGAGTAGTCGAGTGGCGGAGGTCGGATTCGAACCACGGACCTTCCGGTCAGTAAATTGCGCTCTAACCACTTGGGCCATCTCGCCCCCTGACCGGATCAACACAAGTAACCTGTTGCGGCTGTTTAAAAGATCGGTTGAAAATCCAAATCGTGTCATGCGAACAAATCAAAACTCATTCGGCTCTCATCATCATCATTGGGTGTAACACTATCCTGCTCGGGGGACTGGAATATGATTTCATGGCTTGGCCTCCGTAACTTGTGTAATCAGGGTGGGATGTTTAGCATAACGGTCGAGTACATGAGCTGAACGTAGGCTTCCTCTCTCGATGCTTTCAATATGTGCACTCATGTGGGACTCTAGGTCTCAAACCACTGGTCAGCTGTGTGTGTCAGCTGAGTGCAACCGTGAAAGGTTGTTTTGGTTGACGAAAAATGTATTCTTTTGAAGGTCAGATGAGCACTACTATCGTTTGTGACTAAAACAGCCAGCACTTTCCAGGGCTTAGCTGATTCTCGATTTAAGCACGTGTTTGTGTGAGACACCACTCGTACGAACAACACGGCCTAGTTGAATGTTCCTCTAGATTGCTGGTCAGCAGTTCAGTCTCTGCTTTATCACCATACTACTCCAGGCACCTGGCAAAGTACAAAATACACGTTACCTACGGTAGTCGTCGCGCATTGGTTAGATGCATGAAATCGGACCCTTTAGCCAGGGCGATGTTCGCCCATGAGGACCTTTCGAAATTTTGGTGGGCTCAAGAGATTCAGCACGTGATCCGGTTGACTAAAATGGCGGAGCGCGACCTTGGTTCTATTCGTGAAGCTCGGTTGTAAGATTTACACTCCTAAACGGGACGTGATAGCATTGCTTGCAGTCCTTTAAATATTTGACTGCTAGACTATACAATAACAAAAGGCCAGTGTTCCGCCTTACTCTGTCGCCCACGGTAAGAATGCTTCAGGTTCCATCCCTGGTCCACTAATTTTTCAGTAGGGAACAATCGGAGTTAAAAAGTCGAAAAAGAGGTGAAGCAACCCCGCACCAACTTGATAATCTGCCAATCTAGGTAACTCAGATAGCTGAGTGGCGCATGGACAACTGATATTTTGGTATAATGAGGTGGTGGGCTATTGTCGCCGACACACTCTCCCTTCGGTGTAAGGATATGGTGATGAAGAGTCATTCACTGAGTTCTACCGTTTTTGCCCCAACAGTCACCAGAAAGAAAGGTATTTTGTATACTTATTTGTGACCTATTACTCTCTTGTTCAGTTGTTAACCTCCACTAGAACACGGAATATTTCGTGGATTTGTACAAGACTGCTTCTTAATCGTTATCTCCCAAGGTACAAGAAACGTACACTTTTGAGACCTTCACATACTATGATTTGTCCAGTGAAGAAAGATGGATATCCATCGTTCTTCAGCAAAACTCAAACAATCTGGGGTTCATTGGGGGAAAATTGACTTTGGATCATTCCCACATTCAGATGCGGCCAGTGATCATCAAGGATGAAGACAACCTGAGGTTTCCCAACTAAAGTTTTGGGACTGGCAAACCAAGGTTCATTACACGACTCTACTACATACAGGTTCAGGAGTCCTGTGTTTATTTATAAACCCGGTGGTGGTCACAGTCTTTCGACTTCCCCTGTCAAGGCTTGGGCGATCTGGCAGTGTTGATTGGTCACAATCTTGTGCGAAGACTTCTGTTGAATTTTTGACCATATCCACATCGTTCGCGAATATCTTACCTTGAAATAAACCGTAGTTTGTCATAACAAAAGTGTCAGACCTATTCGACATTCACTGCAAAGCTGGGCGTTAGTGATGACCTACTAAT